ATGCATGCATATTTTCCCTTTAAGTAGGGATCCCAAGCCCACTAGGGAGGATATGAAAAAAAGAAACTTGAATACATGTATATACAAACTCTTAGCATTTTCTCATACTTCAAATATCTTCTATTACTAGGAAAAAAGACGGATTGTATCATATTCTTGTAAACCATTGGTTATTTCAATACGGAATCCACGTATCTTTTCTTAAGTTGGCTTGAATATCGTTTATACAAATTTTAACGTCAACAGTTTGGCGCTAAAGAAAGGGCCCCAACTTGGGAGAACGGCCCTATCTCTCCATAAAATTTGCGAACTAGTACAATGGACGAATTTTTAACATCTGGAAATCGATCTCATACTCGTCCCGAACAAACCAATAACCTAGCAAACAGTGAGAGACGACGCTGCAATGAAGCTCTTGATCCTCAAATGGTGGCTATGAAGGAAGCCATCGAAAAACTGACAAATGTTGTCAATCGACTAGAGCAAAAACAAGCTCGAAATCCACTACACGACACTAAGGCGGAATCCCCTCAACAAGAAAGAACTAGACGACTCCCCACTAAAAGAACTCTCTAGTTCTCAAGTGGAGAATCTTCTAAAGACCGAACTAAAGAGGTCAGAAGCTCTTCTGCAACGACAAAACCAACTGCCAGAAGAACGAATAGTGTATCTAACAGACTGGGTTCTCATCACTCTTAGACACCGCCAAATAAAAATGATGAGCCTCGCATTAACCGCCATACGGAACAAGATGAACCTGAAATGAGCGCTCTCAGGAAGCGCATAGCTAACTTGGAAGCCAAAAACAAATGAGGCACGGGAGAGTACCTTACAAAGCGTCACTCCCCCTTCACTGAGGATATTCTGGCAGAACTACTGCCTGAAAAAATAAAAATGCTACAGTTGACCGAATATGATTGGGAAGGAGGCCCCTCAGTCACTTGGATAAATACACCTCTTGGATGGAACTACAAGGGGCTGGAGACGCCTTAATGTGCCGTGCTTTTCCCTTAACTTTAGGGGATAAAGTTCAAAGATGGTTTAGAAGGTTGCACCAGAGGTCAATAAAAAGTTGTTACAACATCGCCATAGCATTCTTAGCTCAGTTCATGGGCTCCAAAGCAAGGACCACACCAAAGGAGAGGTTGGTGAGTATAAAACAAGGAAAAATCGAATCACTCAAAAGCTTCTTGAATAGGTTCAACAAATAGTCCATGGAGGTAAAAAAGATCTCTGATGACGTTGCACTGATGGCAGTTCTTTCAGGATTAAGACCAAAAATAAGGTTCTGGTGGTCTGTCCATGAGGATGGACCTCGAATATACCACGAGTTTTTAGGACGAGTTGAGAAATATATAAGTGTGGAGGAAGCCACGTCAGACCAGGAGGACGTTAAGCACGTTCCACAGTCCCCACAACGAAACAAAGAAAGCAAACCGATAAAAATTCAGGTCGAGATAAAAGGAGGGACAAAAGGGATCAAGGTCGCTCCAATCCATATCCCGATAAATTTCGCGAATATCATCCTTTGAACGCAACATTGGAAGAGGTTTTCCTACAGATAGGAGAAAGGGAAACCTTTCGCCGACCAGGGAAGTACTGTCGTTACCACGGAATGACAGGACATGATACATATAATTGCCGTAATTTAAAAGAAGAGGTGGAGTCCCTCATTCGACGAGATCATTTACAAGAGTTTGTAGCCAAACCTAGAGAAGCAAATTCCACGGAGACTCAACATCCTAACCAACAAAGGATAGTTCCGCAAGGTCAGCCAGGGCCTCAAACTCATGATACCCAACACCGACTTGAGATCAAGACGCTGATAAGTGGAAATCAATGTCTAGAAGGATCGCGAAGAGCTCGTCGCAAAATGGAACGCAATGCTCACATATGGCAGAGTTATAGTGTGACGCCGCCAAAACTGGAGACCTACACCCTCCCATAACTAGATTGGTTTGGATTTTCGGAGGGAGATGCACTAGGGATTCTGCAAGATCAAAGTGATGAGCTAGTCATAGCCATGACTGTTGCGGGAATACAAATACGCTAAACCTTAGTAGATAACGGGAGTTCGGTAAATGTTCTATACTCTAGAACTTTGGAACAAATGGCAATACCTGAACGTCACCTTCGGCCATATTCCAGAAGATTGCAAGGATTCTCAAGAGATCCTATTGAAGCCCGAGGACAAATTGTGCTCAATGTGGAGATAGGCAAACCTTATTGCCAAAGGAGATTTTGGCGAACTTCATTGTTGTG